CCCTAAACCTATTCCCTAAACCCTAAACCCTGAAACTCTAAACCCCAAACCCCACAAGAACCCTTTCTTGGCCCAGCTGCCCGGAACTTGAAAGCGACTTTGAAGGGCAGTTTCCGGCTGCCGGCCTTCAGCGCCTGCCTCGCCAGCTCCTGGCTCGCTCTTTGCTTTGGGTTTAGGAGTTTAGGGCTTAGGGCTAAGGGTTTAGGGCTTAGGGTTTAATAACCTAAATGGACAAACAAGTAAGTACACATGAGATAGATAGATATATAGATGTACATATATATATATATAGAAACAGTTACTTGCTTATGATGTCTCCGTAGACATAGACATGTACAAAGATACTGGAATACCTGTAGATGCATGTATGTACATACATACATGCATGCATGAATGCATGCATGCATGCATACATGCACACACACACACACACACACACATTTTCATCCTTATGATGCTATTGCATGGCTTTTCTGTTCGAGGACTTTGTTTTTTTGATTTTGGAGTGGCATGCAAAGGTTTAGATACAGGCAGGTCTAGGATTTAGGGCCAGGGTCTAGGGATTGGGGCTTACGGGTTTAAGAGCGTGGGGTCAGATAGCGCGTGAATCTCCTCGGACTCCACGTCAAGCTCGAAGATAACCACTCCAGGTTTCCTTATGGCTTTCGCGATCGCCCCCACTACCTAAACCCCGAACCCGAAACCCTGAACCCCGAACCCGAAAGTAAAAACCTGCATGGCGGGCCTTATGGGCTTCCTTCCGCGCAAGTTTTGACGCTCGGGCTTCAAGCTCTGTTTCGTGCAAAGGGCTTTAGGGTTTAGGGCCTCTGGCTTGGAGAGGAAGAGCTAAACCATTCCAAGCCCCCAAAGTCTAAAACCCATTCTAAATCCGAGGCCCTGAACCCAAAATGCCTAAAACCCCTTTCTGTTAAACTCTACAACGTGTGTTCCAAGCACGGCTCATGGACCAAACAACTCTGGAAGCCCACTTCACATACCTTGTGTTCCTACTTTGAGGCTTTAGGGCTTTGGGCTTTGGGGTCACTCGGCCAGTTCAAGAGGAAGCGAAAGTTGCGAAGAAGGGATCGCTACGCAGCCGGAGCTTTGTCTGCAACCAAGCGGCAGCGCTGCGACCCAATACCTTACTTACCCAAAAAGCCAGGGAAATAAAAGGTTAAGCTTTCAGATGAATTTAGGGCTTAGGGTTTAGGGTTTAGAGTTACTTCTAAACTATAAGAAACAAGAAAGTTTAAAGGCTAAGCTTTCAGATTACTACTAAATTATAAGAAACCAGAAAATTTAAAGGTTGGGTATTGGGGAGGCAAGATACTCGAAGCGTCCCTTGCTTGCACCTGTCCGGCTATCCGCGATCCTGGCAAGGCCAGGAACTCGGCATCAAATCCCTAAGCAATGCTGAAAACCCTGAACGAAACACTAAACCGTAAAACCCCAAACCCTAAACCCTAAACTCTAAACCCTAAACCCTAAACCCTAAACCCTAAACTCTAAAACCCTAAAGCCCTAAAGCCTCAAACCCCCAAAAGCCCCCAAACTCCCTGCTCCAGGAACCTTCGAGTTGTGGTGCTTGGTCTGTCGCCTACTTTGCTTAGGGTTTAGGGTTTAGGGTTTAGGGTTTAGGGTTTAGGGTTTAGGATTTCGGGTCTTGGTTTGCTGGATTCCTTGCGACTATAGAAAGAAGGGCTTAACCTCCAGGGTCTAGAGCAGCAGCTACACTTGCGATAGTCAAGTTAACATAACAGGATGCAGGTACATGATGCTGAGCGAAACGGGCTGCAGATCCTTTATTCTACTCCGGGTAGCCCTTCTTGATTGCCCTATGTGAGCCTAAGCAGCCCCAACCCCCAAACCCTAAACCCCTATAGAACCTGCGAGGTCCAATTTAGGGACACCCCCTTTCAGAACCCTTTAGGGAACCACTCACAGATTCCCAAGTCAAGGTACAGTGTTCACGTAGGCCTCAAACTTACACATACAGGAACAGCTGGAAGGCCAAACTGTAGCAGTTATAAAAACATGGATCTCAAGTTCTATAGGATTGAAACCGAACCCCCGAATGTAGGGACCTTAATAATTAGAATAGGGTCTTGGGGCCCATTATACTTTAATTATAATAAGGAATCTCCAAAATAGTTTTCAAAATAGTATAGGTAATTACTTAGGCTCCTATATTACACGCAACCAGAACCAAACCAGCCAGTCCTCTGCGTGATAGCATTGTGCGGATAAACACGGAGGTAAACCTAGCAGGGGCAGGCACGTGTTGCAAGGAATCAGCTGGAGCGCTTGGGCTTCTGGGGTTTGGTGTTTGGGGCTTTCAAAAAGGTTCAGGGATTGCGGTTGTCAAGTGTATACCCTCAGTATACTCCAAGACTAAAGCTACAAGCTATAGGGTTTGTAGCTTGGAACAGTCTGAGTCTAGAGGGTAGAGGGACACAGGCACGTAGATTCAGAGCGTCTTGCGGTTTATGGTGAAGAGCCCAGGCTTCGGCAGGAAGTGAACTGAATTGAGCCAACAAGCTAAGCCATTGCCGATGCACAACAATTCGGTTTTGGGTTTTCTCTTTTAGGGCTTTGGGAATGATGGCTCGTGATTGTCAACAGTGCCAGAGACTACTGATGCTCTTTACGGATGTTGCCATCATGACAAAGACGATTTGCCTCCGTTGAAAGATTTTGCCGTCCCTTGCTACCTGATGGCATCCGTCGATCGATCAATAAACGTGAAGCTAAGTATCCGCAACCAACGACCAAAGCCCAAACCCCTAACATCCCCCAACCCATCCCAACCCCAAAACTCATAACCTAAGCCACCCAGCACTTTAAAACCTGAAAATCTAAACCCCACCAACCCAGGCCATTCCTTGGCAGTGCGACTCGTCGCGCGCACGATCTCGCGCCTGGCGTCCTCAAGCTGCTTGCTGGTCACCCAGCACAGCTCCTGGCTTGCATGAAATGCTCAAACGCATTTATAAACCCTCCACCCGAACTTGGACCTGCACTACATGAATAAACACCATCCCTATAAACCCTAGATCACGGGCTGTTAAGAGTTCTGGCCTCTCAACTTAAACCCTAAACCCTGTACCAGAGGCTTGTGAGATTTATTGTCTATGGCCTCAGGGGCTTGCGGTTCTGGACCTATTAAAGGAGTCAACCCTCAGCCCACAGTCCCACTCCCAGTATAAGCCTACGGAACACGCCTTCAACATCTAATCCTAAGCCCTATAACCCCCAAAACCCCCAAACCTTTTTGACACCCTCACCCCCCAGACCTTTGACCTAAACCTAAACAGAAAACTCTGGTCTCCATCGACCCTTTATTAAACCCCAAATTCCCATATTTGAGATATTGGGGGGGACATCTACCCCCTGTTTGAGGGTACCAGGAAGGTCCGGGATTTTCGAGACCCAACGCAGAAATCCCCCAAAGCCGCAAACCCGAATTACCCTAATTACCCTAAACCCTATCAACTCCATACTAATAAATCCAACCCTTTATATGCACAAAGCCCTTATGCCACCCTAAAAAACGTGTTTTTCTTAGGTAACTCTTTCAAACACCCTATAAAGCCCTTATACAGCCCTATAAAGCACCTTTTCTGAGGTAACTCTCTCGACCTTTAACGTAAGTTCAGGAGCCTTGGCCATGAGCGCGAACTTCGCGAACTGAGGTCTTGATTTCATCGGCTCATCGTCAGGGAACCTGTCGCCAGGAGCTCAGGGCGATCGTGGTGTATAGGGCTTTTTTGATAGGGTCCCTAGACGAAACAATGAGAGGCAAACCTGGGTCAACCCTAAACCCGAATCCCTAAAACCTTTATAAACCTCAGACCCTATAGGCGAACTGCAGAAGCTCTAAACCCACCTAACCCCAAGACCATAAGCCCTCAGACACTAACTCAAATGAACCCGAGGCACTACACACAACCCCAAAGAGACTAAAACTATGACCTTTTGCAAACCCAATATAGGGCCTTAATAGTTTGAATAGGGTTTTGGGGGCCCTGTATACTATATACTACTTGAAGTTGTAGGGGCTGTATCCTCTAATTAATGTAAGGGATGTTGGAGTCTCTGGGCACATCTTGCGATCCGCCTAAATTCCTCAACACTGTGGTGGCCTTAACGTAACCACGTCATGAAATCAAACATCACCCTTACCTCAAAAAAAAACGCTGGGTGAAGCACCCTATACACCCTAAAACCTCAATCCTGGAGTCAACTGGAGTCAAGCACCTCTTGTGGTCTGGTCGTTCCGGCTTGATCCGGGGTTTGAAGGGCTTGCGCCAGTCTTTGAGCTGTGGGACCAAAACCTGGCGGCTGACCTGAGCGAAGTGTGGCTTTGAGAACTTCTTCTTTGGGGCTTCCTAATCAAACTCTTCAAAAAGGAATTTGGGTTTGGGATTTGGGATTCGGAGTTGATGAGGTCGTTTCTTTGGTTGGGGCGGGCATACGTAAAGCGTTTATGATTGCTGTAATGGTGCAAGTACCTAGGTAGCATGTACCTTGGCCTTGCTGTGTAGGTTCATGGACCATTAGGGTTATCACTGTTGTAGTAGTGGCATGGTCATGGTTGTTCATGCTTGTCTGAACATGATGGTGGCGACTCAGCAGGACTGATCTGATAGCTGCAGGCATCAGCCGCAAATAAGACAAGAGCGCAGACAAGAAGAACGAGACAAAACTATCACTCGTCCTCTCCTCCCCTGCACTCTAACCCCTCAACTTTCCTCTTTGGGTCGCACGCGCACCTGAAATCCAGGCAGAGTTGCTGTGGGAGTCCTTGTAGAACGCTCGCGGGAGGCGCCCACAACTAGGCTGTTCGTCTTTGGGGGGAGGCTTGAACTCTCGAAACTCGGAAACCCAAAATTCTCTAAACTTCTCTCAAACCCCTAAACCCTAAACCCTAAACCCTAAACTCTAAACCGTAACATGTATCACTTAACCGCCAAAGCCCATCAAAATCTCTACCCCCAGATGCTGGGATGCTAAGCTCGCCTTGGGGGGCCTAAGAACAAAAGGCTCCACGGACCCCGAATTGGCAGGTTTTTTTGAGCCCAAAGACCATACCTTGTTGAGGGTCAGGGTTTAGGTTTTAAGTTTAGGTTTAGGGTTTAGGGTTCTGCGATGTGGGAGGGCTTGAAGGGGGGGGGGTTAGCAATTAGAATAGGGCTGGGACATAGAGTTTACAAAGAATGAGGAACCCTTGAACAATAGCGAACTTGCAATATTTCATATCGGCCCTGGGGCGGGCAAATATATTGAACTATAAAGCATTTTCCGGAGAATTCTTCCATGTCTACCTTTAGCCCTCCTTGTTGGAAAAGTCTGACATTTAAAGCAGGGAGCCTACAGAACATTAGGCTTTGCTGGATTTCGCTAAGGGTTTCCGGACGGATTGCGATGGCTCTTGCTGGTTATTAGGGTTCGGGGTTTTGGTTTATTGTTTGAGGTTTGGGGTTTTAGGCATTGGCGGCCCTTTCGGATTGCAAGCACAGCGATCTCTTCTGTTCCCGCTTTCAGATTCCTGGCAACGCCGAAGGACCGTATTGACTTCAGGAAAATTTGCTGATTCCCCTAAACCCTAAACCCTAAACCCTAAACCCTATACCCTATACCCTAAACCCTAAACCCTAAACCCTAAACCCTAAACCCTAAACCCTCAACCCTTAAGAGCCTTCAGCCTCAACCTTCACAGTCTGGACTCGCAGAAGCTAAAGTTGACGGCCCGGAAACAAATTCAAGCCCGACACCCAAATCCCATAAGCAACCCGAAACCCCATAAGCCGCTAAACCCCAAAACCTCTACAAACCCAAATCTGAAATCCTGAAATGATTCTAGAAACCTTTATTCTGACTCTCATGAGCCCTCTTGGAATTTAGATCCCGATATTAGAGAGCCCTTTTAGAGAACTATCTAGAAGCCACTGAGGGTAACTCTCACATGCCTTTATAACACCTTTTATAGAAACCCTAAACCCCTAAACCCTAAACCCCTACAGACTAAACCCTAAACCCTCCATGCCCAAGGCGCATGCACCCAGGGAGATCACAGCTGAGACCCAGCTCACGGCGCAGGCGCCCCGGGGTGCGGCCGTGGCCGTAGGCTGCCTTAGCTTGCCAGGGGCTCCCAGACATCAGAAAATTGGGAATATAGCTTTCCTAAGTTTGAGGGTTTAGGGTTTTAGGGTTTGGGCAATATAGTCTGCCTAAGGGTTTAAGGGGTCCTCATTTCTGCGCTAAGGTACCCAAACCGGAGCCAAAATGTCCTACAATAATGAGCACTTGGACCAAAGAATGGGCTTTATAAGCTTTTGAGAGGAATATCATATACCATATCCGCATATGAAGCCTAAACCCTAAACCCTAAACCGTTGCAGCCTCCGGGCTCTTTTTAGAGCACTCTATCCCAACCTTGGGAAGCCAGAAAGGCCCGGTACGATAATGCAGGGGCCTTAAGAATTAGAATAGGGTTTTGGGCTCTTTTAATAAATAGGAGGAAAATAAAGAACACTCAGGAATAATATTGGTAATTACTAGGCTTCTATACTGCCTCAACCTAAGGGTCCAAAGGACCTAAGACTTATAGGTACTAGGGTTATGGATAGTAGTTTTGTAGGTTAATATTTTTGGAGAGTATATGATTATTGGGTACTTGGACCCTCAACCGCCCTCAACCTACCACATCTATTTTCGTGCAGGGTCCCTATCAGCCTTTATTACAAGCAAGTAGGCTTGCCTGGCTTGAGGCACACGGGCAACTGGGCTTCTAGGGAAAGCTTGACAGATCATGAACCTGCGCCAGAACTTAGGCCCATCTTCTACATCCTACACGCTGAAGCGACAAGTCAACATCGAATCAGTACCAGGGTTGGGTGTCGGTGGGGCGCCAAGAGCTTTGCTGGGTTTGAGTGCACGGTATGACGCTCATCCAGAAGAGCGTGGCAAGTACACCCAGCGCTTGAGAATGTGGGATTGACTTCTCTTCTTCAGTTCCTGTTCGGGTTGAGGCATCGAGTGTTCAGGACGTCCACCTGTCCTCATGGATCCTATGCCGTGCGTAGCAGGGCCCGAAGATATACCCCGAAAGTCAGGATCTTTACCATATGGATCCCTGCATAAGGTGCAGTTAGTCTGGAGATCCCCATATCGTCTCATATGGGGCCCTTGTAATTAGAAAAGTGCTTCCGGGGTCTAGTACACCACAATTATAGCGGCGACTAAAACTTATCTTAGAGGGAGATACTATTCAACATCATTCACGCTATGCTACTACATACACCAGAACCACAGGTGAATCCTATAACACCTCAATATAAAATCAAAAGATAGCATGGAAACCCTAATCCCTAAACCTTAACCCAAAATCCTAGGAAGTCCTATAACAAACCCTAAACCCTAAACCTTAACCCTAAATCCTAGGAAATCCTATAACAACCTGGAGCCTGTCGGTTCACCAAGACCGGCGGATGCAGGGTGAGGCAGCTAATACAGGGGCCGTCGCAGTTAGAAATAAAGAGGGGTTCCTTTAAGTGTTCTGCAACTCAAGGGTCCTATGATACAGAACTGCAAGTAGGAACCCTCAGGAATAATCTGATGTAGCAGATATTCAGACTTCTGTATGAAGGCTTCAGTACCAATCCACTTCCTCGACTTTAACTAGCAGAACATGCTTTCTTGTGTCGAGTCCCTGCCAATTAGGCTTTGTTTTAATAGGACCCCATTAAAGTAGGCTATCATAGCTCAAGCAATTGAGGTAGAGCCCTTCATCGCTGCCCTACCCTATGAATTGGTCGTAAAATTCTGTACCTCTGCAATCGGCATCGTTACCTCGAAGTGAACAGAAAACCTTTCGCCACCCACAACCAGAAAATCAAGGACGCCTTCGCGAGTTCCCAAAACCCTAAGCCGTTGAAGCCTTAAAACCTGAAAACTCCAAAACCACCGAACTCCACGGACTCGTCACATCTCGTCACTATGGGCCCAGTTTGCAGAATATACCTAAACCTTCACTAAACCCTAAACCCTAAACCCTAAACCCTAAACCCTAAACCCTAAACCCTAAACCCTAAACCAAGACTAAACCCGACGATGCCCGAGTCGTTGAAGCTCGAGGCTGATCGCCGACTCAGGACGTAGCGAGACAGGTCAGATCCAGGTGTGTTGGATGCTTCCCTAAGGGTCCAAGTACCCATTTGGGGCCTTTTTGGGTATCTAAAATCATAAATAAGGGTCCAAGCCCGAAGGGCTTGGTTCAAGCTTTCAGGCACAGAATGAAAGTTTAGGCCCTAAGTTCCTAAGGCACTACCCAGAGAACCCAATACCCCTTAATTAAGGAATATACCTTAAACCATAATACTAAGGCCCCTATAATTTCAGGTATACTCCTCAATTAAGGGGTATTGGGTTCTCTGGGTAAACCCTAGCTGGCCGCGTGGCAGGGGTCGCGATGCCCGTGGAGGTGCCGACACTGCAGCGAATCTGGAGCCGGCAGAGGCCGAGGCGGCCCAGATTGCCGCCATGGTGCGCAAGGCGTGGGGAAGGTAATCTATAGACCCTAAACCCCTAACCCTAAACCGTGATATCTCTAAATATATATATATATATGTATATATATATATATATTGTCTATATGTTGTCTGTCACAAAGAACAAAAGCCCTGAAAGCTGGATATACCTAGAGGCTCATGAATAGCTCTCCCTGCTTTCCTTCTTCAGCTGAGCCTGTGCCGTCGAAGATCAACGCATAAATTCTCAGCGGCCTCCAACCTTACTTCAACCCGAAAACTGAATCACGAATATTTGGCCTTACTAATTGGACTAGCGCCTTGTATGAACCTATGGGTTCTGTAGTGTGCTACAAGGTTCAGGGACTATAAGGCATGACTACTTAACCGTCTAGCCCAACGTTCAGTAGTTGGGGTTTAGGGTTAAGGTATGACCTCTGACCCCAAACCCTACAAAATAGTAGGTCATGACCCCTTAATTAGAAGGTAGAACCCTTAAAACGGTAGGTTTTTGGATCCCCAGGGAGGGTTTCTTGTTTAGGGTCCAGGCTATGATCTGAGCTCTTGCGGGGGCTATCGTAGTCTCCGTGCTGACGACGAGTCTTTGTACCCAGAGACTCCAAAACCCCTTACTTCAGCAATGTACCTTAAATTAGAAAATAAGATTTAAGGTATATTCCTTACTTAAGGGGTTTTGGAGTCTCTGGGTAGATATGATAATGCCCCGAGCAATGCAACGAAAAGGAACTTGACCAGGGGATCAGAGCAGATGCGGCTCATCGATGACAGTCCTAGCAGACATAAGCTCCCAATCCACACCCAGCAAGCATCACATTAAAATCAGCACGTGAAGTTGCGAAGCATGGCTTCTATGCGTAGCGGCCTGTGCGGCAGCTTGTTTTCGAAATTAAGCTGTATTTCGTCAAGGACTAAAAAAGGGACGAACACGCAAGTTCTGAGTATTAGGAGACACTGGTTCTGACAACAATAGTTCTGTGCAGAGCACTCGGGTCGTGCTTCTCCGTTACTTCAAAACTGCTGGCAGGAGGAACGCAGAAAAGCATTCCATGATGCCAATGAACAGCTACGACAGTTGTACCGTAACAACAGCCCTAAACCATATACACCTGCACCCAAGCCCTATCCTCACTGAACTCAGGACCCTAAACATCTTCCAAACCCTAAACCCCTAAACCCCTAAACCCTATACCCCAAACATCCCTAAACCCTGAACCCTTCATATATACCCTAAACACCCCTAAACCCTAAACCCTAAACCCTAAACCCTAAACCCTAAACCCTTCAT